TTTTTTAACAATGAATATTGATTTTTATCAATATACAAGATTAAATATAGATCCTCATGATGATTTACTTGGTGATCGATATATGATAACAAAAAACTTAGGATTTGGTGTATCATCGATAGTTTATTTATTAGAAAAAAATGAAGATAATGATTCAGTTGAAGATTCACAATATTATGTAATGAAAATATTAAAACAAAGTAAATATTCAGAATGTTTTCAAGAAGAAATTGAAATGACAAAAAAATTAAAAGAATTTAATGATTTAAATAAATTTCATTTATTTTTTCAAGATATTCTATATTCATTGTCTTCAGGTAAGGCATTTGTCTTTTGACACTTTTCTTCACTTTTTCTACAGATTCAAAATGTATCGAGAAAAATAGAAAGAAAAATATATTTTTCACATAATGAAAAACAAAATACATAGACACAGAAGACTTTATGAAATAGTAAAACTGTTCAATCTATAATCTTCAATGTAATTTGTCTGAATGAGGCTACTTATAAAAGATACTTCAAATTCATACGAATGCTTTTTTTTTACTCTTGGTGATATATTAAAAGAGTATACTAATCGACGTTTTTTTGAATCTATTTTTTTCAGATTCTTGTTTTTCTTGAAAATCAGTCAAGATTCTTTTTATTTTGAATCTCAGGTAAAAATCTTTTTTTCCTTTCCTGTTAAAAGAATCTTGTCTAGCATTCAGAATTAATCAGAATCTTCTCTGATTGATCAAGAAAAACAAGAATACAGACAGAATAGACCTAAAAATGTCGACTAGTGTAAGATAAGAAATATCTGGATAATACAATCGATTAAATATAAGAGTTACTTTTGGTTTTTAGATATTTTTAAAGTATATAAAACAGGATAAACAAGAATAAAAATGCAAGTTTATTTTCATGCTACATATATGTATAGAATTGTAAGATATAAAATCATCCGACTATGTTTGATGTTATAATTTCAGCATAAAACTATAAGGTTTTATATTTGATGAAAATAAATATAGATTGAAGCAACATATTAAATAAGGATAATGAGGATTAACAAAATATTTGTTATAAAAAAGAGAAACACAAAAAAATCATCATTTCAAATAAGATTAGTTAAAAAAAGAGGCCATTTTTTGTTTTTATCACTTAGAAGATAAGTGAAAGCTCGATAGAACATGTTATTATTACTTAAGAACAACAGATTATAAGAATTCGTACTTCAAAGTCAGTTTTCACAGAAAAACTTGGAATCTTTTTTGTGGTTAAACGCGTTAGTTTTTATTTTCAACATGTTCAAATGCATCGGTATTTATTTATAATGCATTTAGTAATGTTACTTTATCGACGTTATGTTGTTTTTAGTTTGAAACATTATCTAAAACTATTGTATAAACGTGTTCATGAGCAATAGTCTTTTGCTTTTAGTGAAAAACTGTAGGAAATAAACTTTGCTAATATTGTCAAGTATCAGACTGAAAATTATACTACTTAAATAGATCCCGTTGTAGAAATGAATTTTATGAGTGATATGCAGTAGAATCTATTTTAATATCGAGAAATAAAGAAATAGTTGTGTAAGAAAAAATATAAATATAAATAAATTTAATCTGATTGAAATACATGATATTAGTTATTTTCTTTAGAAGTTATAGCTAAATGTTTGTCTTTTTCTCTATAGTAGTTCTAATGAATAATATTTATTCAAAAACAAAAAGATGCTTTGAACGATCATAGTTCTTTCATTTTCATCAAATATTCTTCAGGAGTAATGTAGACAACAATTTGAACTTTATTTTTATCATCGTCTCTTTTTCTTTTCATATAATTCCTTATTATCAAGCTTAAAAACAGAAATGTCGAATATTTTTGTCAAGAAAAATCTATATGATTTTTCACTGATTAATTAAAGGTTTTCATTTTTGAACATATGTTTCTAGACTTAAAGTAATAGTATATATAGAAGAGTATGTCTACAACCTCATAGATATAAGAATATTGATAGATACAAAGCTATATGACTAAAGGTATAGATGGCAATGCACTAGGGTTAAGGATATAAGTATGAGAGTTACAACAAAAGGATATAGGTATATGCCCAAACCTTTATCCATATATTTCTAGTCTTTCATGTCCATGTAAGAAAAGAGAGGATAAATAGATAGAAGTAGAGGTTTGCAAGAAAAAGAATATATTATATATTAAAGAAACTCATCATAAAAGTTTAATTTTTAAATGACCCATTTATCTTTCTGACCAAAACAATACTTTTTAATTAAATGAAAATTAAATTAAGTTAAATTAGTAAAATTTTCGTCGGATTATTTTTGTAAAATGTTAACGTTACATCGATCAGTTTAAAGATTAAAAAAAACTATTGTTTGATAAACGAGATAGATAACACAAAGCGAAATTTTTGAAAATAATGTTTACTAGAACAAACTTGCTTTCAGTCTGAACTCAACTAAAACATATCTAATCTTGAGAATTCTATTAGGTAATTGAGTGATTGTTATGATCTTTCTAATAAAGAACTTAGTTCAGTTATGGATAAAAAGAAAACTAAATGTCTTAGAATAATTTTCAAGACTTTAACTTCCGTTCATATCTTAGATTGTGATTATTAAACAGCTATATATACTATTTGTTCGTAGTTTATATGAAATAATTAATAAAAAGAATATTTTACGTAAGTAATTTGTTTCAGTACAAGACTACATCTCAATTTACCTATGATTGAAATAATATTTTATACTATTTCTAAATTTTTTTTTCTGTTATTTGTATTCAGATAAATATTTATTCTATGAAAAAGAATTACAATGTATAGAATCATTATCATTGATCCAATCGAAACAACTTATTGATATAATTCATTATTTATATGATTGTCGTATTATTCATCGTGATGTACGTCCACAAAATTTAATGTTAGATCGTGATAGTAATCATATAAAATTAATTGATTTCGGTTTTGCATTTGCATTTGATACGGATAACAAGGGGGGCAGTATAGATATCATAGGCCCACTTGCATTTGCTAGTGAACCATTTTTACATTTGTATTCAAAATTATTAAAAGGCCAAGATTTTCCATATTATTTCTATGAACGAACTTTTGATTTAATATGTGCATTAAATATTATAATGGCTATGAGTAATGTTGATATCAAACGAAGTATTGATTCATTTATATATTTACAAGACGTTAACGAATTAGTATTAAAATCATTGCAATTATGGAAAGATACTCGACGTACAAATAAATATTATTCAAAATTATTGAAGTTAATAAAAAAGCTGGATTCTTGGTATCCATTAGATGAATCAAATGAATCATCAGTTTCTCATGTTTCAAATGATCAATCAGCTGAATCAGATCAACCATCAATTTCTAATGTTTCACAAGGACAATCAGATCAATCAACGATTTTTGACATTCTAAAAGATAAAATAGAAAAACTTTTCGATGTGTAAACAATGATGTTAATGCTTTTTTCCTATATCACATGTTCATGTCATTGACTTTAAAATTTCATATAACACTTCTCATTAATATTTCATTCATTTCTTTTTTTTTGTTTGTTAATTTTGATCTCTATCCATATATAAACAATCATTGTCATTAAAAATAAAAAACATTTTTTTCATTTATTAAAACGCTTTTTT